TGAAAAGGAGGGTCTGAAAAGCATTTCACAATAAGGCTCTCTTATTCTCCGTATGCGTTCTGTTATATTAGAGCGTGCATGTGCATTAAGCCCTGCTCGGTCATGTCTGTCCATGTAGGGACGCTGAAAATTGCAAGAGCAATAAGGATTTTTAGGGGCATTATGACTGGGTTAATAAAACACAGCTGCCCCTAAAAGTCCCTCATTTTTCTTGCTGCCTATTGGGTCCTCTTCCTAGACTCACATTTCAACAGCATGGAGCCGGCTTTCAATCCGGCGGCTGGGTGTTGGTGAGAGCTGGACACCCTTTCCCTCCCCTGGGGAAGCGCAGACATGTGGCTGCTGTATCGCTTCCTTGCTTCTGACGGCTGGAAATGAGCGAGACCCTGTTTGTCAGCCGTCCAACAAGTGAAAAGTTTAAATTAAGAAGAGAGTGAGGGGAATTTTAGCCTCCCTCCTCCCCTCAAGCGTGCATGCCAGGGGTTTATAAATTGCCCTTATAAAACAAGGGGTTTGCTTTGGGATTTAAGTGGGTAGCTGAGAGAGGCGAATGAGTTCAGTGCATTTCGGAGCAGGATTCTTTCCTATTCGGATTGGTATTTCTGTGTTTATACATGCACTACAAACATGCCCATTACACAGCGTGAGGGTCCTTTCAATATTACCATCCTGAGCTACAGAAATGTTTGTGAAATGATAGGAAATACTCAATTCTAATTCCAGCTTGATAGGCCTAAGTGCGCAAGTTCAACAAATCACACTAAAATAGATAATGTGCTCAGTCAGAAACGAGCTGCAGTTTAAAATATATGATCTTTAATAAGTTCAGAACTTCTAACAGTGGGATATTGCATAGAGAATCCTTGACGGAACGCCTTCAGCAAACTACTTTGGATAATTATTTTACTAAGTTATGTAAAATACTGTATTGCAATTAGTATTTCATTACTTATAAGCAAAACTTACAAGCAAAACTGAGTTCCTTCTCATTCTAATGTTTCCCCCCTACAGAACAGCTAAATATTTTTTATTATTATCTATGTGCGTATTATAATATATCCATTCAGACAGAAATAAGTGAGGATGATTACATGAGCCAGAAACTGGGACTTTGTAGGCCAGTTGAGAGTAAATTTAACTACTCACCTTGCCCGCAAAGACCCAACCTCTAACACATTAATGTCTTTAACCCCAAATATACAACATTTATTACTATACATTCATTGTTGTCTTTATTTTATAATGAATAACCCTAAAACTACGCAATTTCACTAAACTGTACTTTAATATACTTATTTGGCTTGTTTCATTCCTACATAGAACATGTTAACATCAAGCCAAATAACATAAATCAAAAATTACCCTAAAAACATCTAAATAAATACTTCAGCAGGAATGTAGAAGCACATATTGATGTATTTTCTTATCAACAACTAGCAGCAATAGATTAATTTACCTCTGCTTGACTTCCATTGTTTGAGAGCTGTATCAACCCAGCTTGTATTTGATTTACGTCCACTGTTTTGATTGTAGAAAAGTTTGGCGAGCTTACGGTCCAATTCTGGTTCCGATTGCTGTCACAGGAATGGAATAAAGATGCAGTCTTCGCTAAAGCCTGCGTGTAAATTTCTTCTGAGAAGATATGCGAGTTTATTTTTTCTCGGATGCGCCCAAATGTATTCAAGTTCACTCGTCGGGAGCGTAGTCATGACTGTCACCACCGCCGCCGTCTTAAAGGATTTACCTGGACTCTGCACACCAACGCGTGCCATGAGACAGCCGCAGCCGCAGCCGCAGCAGCGCGCGGAGCTCATCTCTCGCGCAGTCCTCACGCAGGCCCTCCCCAAAATGGCATTCTAGGTAGCACATGCATTTATGAATGTGTCACACTCACCTACTTGTCTTTGGTTTAGGGCACAGCAGCTAGAAAGTGTATTGCTGGGTGCGCATTTATGTCTTACCTAGGTGGATGCTGCACACTGGTGGTGGATGAGGAGATACCCCCTAACAATGTAAAGCGCTTTGAGTGCCTAGAAAAGCGCTATATAAATGTAATGAATTCTTATTATTATTAAATGCGAAATGTCTGCGTGCTTAGTCATCCAGTTCATTTCTTTAATGTGGCAAACATATTAAAGTCCCACAGAAAAACAGCAGTTGCGTTGTTTGATTCGAACCTTTACGGTTTTATAATGTTGAGTCGTAGAATATTCACTGGCAAGGCTTATTAGCTGCGCACTGAGCCCAGATATGTTTTAATTAGGTGCGCCAGCGTCATCTTGTGGATACATGCGTAATACACACCGATTACACACCGATTTACATTCTTATATTTATATTTAAACTTTCCCAATTAAATATTTTGCTGTCCTCAAAACAATACTAAAATAACACAGCTTTTCATTCATTCACTTTTTAACGCCAATGCCAGCATCAGGGCTGTTTTCATGGGGATCTGAGAATAAATTACACTAGGTATACAATTAACAAAAAGTTATAAAAAGATATTTCAAATTCAGACAAATTCTAAAATACGTTCAGGTGACACATTTGAAAATAAATCAGTTAAACACACCTCTGAATAAAACCGTTGTCTATTTACATTAAAAACAGTAGGCCTACAATCTAATAAAATATGCTTTACAGTCATTTTTGTTTGGCAAGTAAGGCATGATGGTGGTTATTCATCTTTTAATAAATATCCATGTGTAAGTCTTGTATGACCTAAAAGACACCTTGTAAAAACAACTTCATACCTAGATTTAAAATGAGTAAAAAAATATTTTTCTTAAACTATTTATTTCATATAGCTTATTATATTATATTATAGCATATTATAAAAGAGTTTATCACAAGTTTGACATCACAGAAAGGAATCTGACACTCTGAAATATTCAGGTTGAGTGCTTCTTTTGCAGTGATATTCGTTTTCTCGTTGCCAGAATAACCCATACGACCTAGAATCCAGCAGAAGAAAATACTGAAGTTTCTCTTGTGTAAACAGCCTGCTTTGGCTAAAATCGTTATAATTATGGGATGAACAATCTTTACATTTTCAAGTGCTTGAAGGCAGGATTTTGCATGAAAATTAAAAGATTTCGTTCTTGTCCATTTTCTATATTTTCCAAAGACAGTAGCAGAGCACGAGCTTCAGCTGAGGATAGCACTCTGTCCTGAGATTCGTACACCACGACAAGACATTGGTCTCCAGTTATTGCTGCTGCCGATACTCGAGTCTCTGCTTTGGATCCATCTGTGAATACAGAGCTATGATGAGGAAAACTGCTGCTTAACTCCAACAATGTCTGCCGATATTCATGAGGATGTGTTGTTTTCTACAAATGTGACTAAAATAACACAATAAATGAACTTTTCCACGACATTCTAATTTATTGAGATGCACCTATACATAGTTATACATAGTATTCAGTCTGGCATTTCAAACTTACACGGAGTGCATGTATAGACAGACTGCAGTGTTCAGGTTATACCTTAGGTATATTAAATTGGATTAAAGTCTGTGCTCTGGCTAGGTCCCTGATGCCAACAAGCGTTCTGTTTTCTTCTGATAAAATGAAACCTGCTCGTGTAATCATTACAAGAAACAAGAGTATTTGTATGTGCTTTCGTTTGTTTGTTTATTTAAAGAGCTTTTCTGCAAAAGCATGCTTCTTCCATCGATCGAGGCACGGACGGGGTTCGAACCCGCGATCTTCGGTTTACGAGACCGACGCCTTACCACTTGGCCACCGCGCCCAATGGCCAACATAGGGTAAATTACCTAATTTGGTGTAATGTCGGCTGAAAAAAACATCTCGATTTAACAATTGGTTTTATAGTTTTTCCGTTTATTAAATCTCTCGCGTGAGCCCATGCCTCTTTTTTAAACATATTATAGAAGCGATCAAACGCGCCGAGTCTTTTTATTCCCTCTGCTAAATTGGACACATCCGGTAGACGTTAGCCCAGAGGTTTCCCGGATGTGTCCAATTCAAATCACAACAAATCAAATTAAAAGTGCAACAAATGCGTCTCCCACATGACACAATAAACGTTCGCAAAATGCGCGTCACCATTGGTACTTTTTAAAGTACAGTTCCAGCAAGAATATTTCCCGGGTCTTTATATCTGTATTCTGTATGTATTGTATGCGTCTCCCATTATTTTATAATAACCATACGGTTATCTCTCCATAGTATTTCACTAATAGCCGAAACATACATCGGTCTATTTGAGCTACGCGCTAAATAGTCATCAAAGGTAGACGGACACGATGCAATAAACATTTGTTGTAGATTCCCTAAATGTTCTTGGTTTTCATAACTTGTTACCGCGTACTCAAGCGATGGGAGTCTCCAGTGAAATAAACATCTGTAACAGTTAACACTTTTTATGGGGAAGAAAACAAGTATATTATGCAATATAATGATAATAATATGTTTGGTTTCGAGAATGGATAATAGTTTGGTTTGGCATTTACTATCAAATTTCAAAAGATAGTCTATGTCTGTCCACACAATTGAGTTAAACGTTTGATCAGATTAAAAAAGGAAAGTCATGAACTGCAATGAGAAGCACAGCGTTTCAAAATCGTTTTCTAAAGCAATGCATGATTGTTACGAATTAATGGACGTTTATTAAAGTGAACTAAATGATTACAAAAACATTTATGTAATATTAAATTATATATATATATATATATATATATATATATATATATATAACGATAGGCCCTAAACAAACTACTGGGTTTATTTTGTCTAATTTAAAATAATGACAATCAGCAAACAAAACGTCTGATAACTTTTTCAAAAACAACTTAAATAGTATGTCTACAGATAAATATGTCGTACAGCTAGGGGCTCGGCATTTATTTCACACACCCTGAGCTTTTTCTGGCCGCAGTGTCTATTTAAAAACAACAACAACAACAAAAAACGAATGTCCCGCGAAAATATAATAAGCGAAATGGAAGCCCTCTGCGCACTCTCTACCAAACTTGAATGCAATGTCCAAACTCGAGGTTTTATCAGCTGTGTGGACTACATTCAAGACGGAGGGCGGGTAATATTCACAGCACTTCGACTTGAGGCTGTTTCTCACAGGGCACAAAGCTTGTGGGCTTACTCTTATATTCTTGATAAATACACAGCGGGGATACTCTCGTAAACGGACCGCTAATCTTCACGCACTTCTTAGCTCTCAGTGTCGCGTGGAATCCACAGTACATCTGATCCGATAAGAGCTCGCGACGCGCTCGGCTCTTCACGCGGATGAGACGTCGTTGCGTTCTTTCTACGTCTTCACGTAAGTTCACGTTACATTTGTGTTGTCGCGAATTCCATCCGGTCTGTAAAACAAACTGAAGTGCCGGCGCGTTTATGTTAACTGCTACTTTGTTGAGGGGGCGAACCGGTCTCGGCTGCTCTCCCTTTGTTTGGGCCCAGGACTCGGCTGAATCCACCGGAGCTCCGTCTCAAACGTCTCATTCGACCGCCAACGCTATATTAGGATGGCTCCACAAAAGCACGGATCTGGTGGAAACGGTTTTTATGCCAACAGCGGCGCGAGCAAAGCGGCTAATGGAGGAGCGCACGTATCGTCCGGTGTTGTGATGACTTCAGTCAAGCGACCCAAGATGGAGCAGGTCCAAACCGACCACGAACTCTTCCTGCAAGCCTTCGAGAGTAAGTTGCTTGTGAATCCAGCTTTATAAATAAATTGCTGTTTTTCGCATGCTTAACCGTATCCGATTGCTTTACCACCCATGGTCTTAGCTTGAGGGCTAAACAACAATACTAGCCCGGAAATTGTGTCCAGTAGTTCGCTAAATGCTTTAAAAAGCCAGATAATTCACGTTAAAAGACGTTATGTCGTGGTTTGTTCACTATAGAGGGATTTAGACACGTATTAGTTGTCTAGGCCACATCCTATATGAAAAGTAGACACGTGCATGAAGAGCTGGCACGTGCTTTATGGTGCTTTTATGTATTTTAAAATGACATTGGGGACTTGGGCAATGGGCAACAGTCATGAACAACACAGAAACCTTGAAAACCTCACTTGCAGTTTCTCTACACTAGCTAAGACTTGCCAAACTGCCACCTTGATTCTTGTGTAAGAGTGACTGACATTTGTACAAAAAAATAGGGTTAATTTTGTAGATGCTGGCGTGAAAAAAATGTGTTGGTTTCTTTGGTTATTTACATGGCATGAGTCCAAGTCTGGCAACATCGGTGTACATGATACCTCTGCATTTCTGTTCACAGAACCAACTCAAATATACCGTTTTCTTCGCACAAGGAATCTTATAGCAGTAAGTAGACCACAATCATGACGGAATGTCATGCCGTTCTCATTTATACGTGAACTTTTGTGGAAACCCGGCGAGCTTAACTCTACATGGCTGCCACAACAATAGACTTAACTGGTTGATCTTTTCTTTTTTTTCTGTTCTTTTAGCCAATCTTCCTGCACAGATCTCTTACATATATGTCCCACAGAAACTCAAGAACAAATTCAAAAAGGTAAAACGATTGCATGCACCTTGTCTTAATCTCTTTGTTTGTCAAAAAGCCACACCTTCCATTTCCTTGTGCAGGCCTCATAGTGAGAAAATTTGCATGTTGACAAATGCACTGCAACTGACTGGTGTACTTCAGTTGTAGTTGGATAAATTGAAGGAGAGTTTCACATCTCAATGATTTATCGAACGTTTGTTGGCATCTGTTATTTCAGAAAATGCTTTAGCGTGAATGACCTGCTATTCAAAGCAGAGAAGTCGAAAGTGGATCAGGAATCTCACAAGTAAGATGTTCTTGATCTAGATTTATTTCGCTCGCTCATCTTCTGAACATGACTGCAGAAGTTTTAACTCCAGTTTTGCCTTGCAGCATGGCGTCAAACCTGCAGCTCACTTTTACTGGATTCTTTCATAAAACTGGTAAGCTAACATTAGGTTTATGTACACTCTTGTTAGCGTGCACAAATAATGTTCTCTGATCGCTTAGTGATTCTGATTTGTTGTTCAATGTATCAGAGAAGCCGTTGCAGAACTCAGAGAATGAAGAAAACTCTGTATCGGTGGAAGTGCTACTTGTCAAGGTCTGCCACAAGAAGAGAAAGGTAAAAACTTTGTCATAAAAATTCATGGCGAAAATATCTCAGGCTGATGATACATGGGGCAACGTTTTGAGCAATTTTGCTTGAGCACTTTCCCATTGAGAAGAGATGATACATTTCTATCTGGATATTTTAGATTGGTTAGATAGTGTCTCACCTGGTTGCCCGTTGACAGCAACATTGCTCAAAAAGTTGCCCCGTGTATCATCAGCTTTACATTGACCCTTTTCCCCCACAAAACAAGCTTCCGCAATCAAAAAAACCTTGTCCTTGTCTTGATACAGTATACGTGGCCATATCTGTCTGTACTGTAGGTTAATTTTTAATTAGTGTTTATGCTTGCCAACTTGCACAACTTAAAAACTCAATGAAATCGCTTGACAAGCAAAGTTTTGAGTCTTGTATTGACATGTATGTTTTAAGAGCATTTGATTGGACTTGATTCAGCATAGTGCAGCATTTTCAAGATTTATCAGTCAAGATTTTTGATCCCAGAAGAGAAAAGGTGCAGTCACACATACTGTTCAACAAATTTTCATGGGCAAAATCCAGTCATTTCTATAGGAATCCATGTAAACTGAGAGATTTCCCCACATAGATTTTGCAGTGGGTTTAAGTTGATCACACACATTCACCACACTGAAGCTGCTTGGTTTGAAGCTCTGCGCTGTAGACAATAGACAAGGACCTTTTTTAGCCCCCAAATTTACAGAGATTTCACTAATGGGACTACATAAGGGCTAAAAAGTTTCAATTTGTAAACATCAGTCAACTTTTAGTAGTACACTACAATATATATATGGCTTCTAAGCTAACAGGTGCTTTGAACTCATGTTTCATTTCTGTTTTTCTAGGATGTAAGTTGTCCAGTAAAGCAAGTGCCAACAGGTAAAAAGCAGGTGCCTCTGAACCCAGACAGCAGTCAGACCAAGCTGGGAGCTTTCCCCACACTGATCGTGCCCAGCCAAGAGTTTGAACCCAGTAACGGCCACATGGTGAAGTCCTACTCCCTTCTGTTCCGAGTGTCTCGTCCAGGGGGGAGAGAGCACAACGGCGTGACCACCAGAGATACCAGTATGAGCTTCAGAGATTTTAAAATAGCTTATGATAGTTTTGCACCTCAAAGCGAGTTTCGCAGTTTGATGAGGCCTTTTTACCAAGAAGTTGTTTTCTTCTCAGATGTTATGGAAGAGCTGTCTAACAGGAAGAAGAGATACTGCTCTAATCAGGATGATAGAGAAACTATATTTGTGGCGCAAATGACAGTTTTTGATAAAAATAGGTAAATGTTCTATGTTAAATTGCTTGTTCTTGTAGTGTTCAGTTGCTTTTTGTTTGCTTGCCTGGTTTAAGACTGTGAATATTTTTTTTTTTTGTGTGTGTTCTTTCAACAGACGCCTCCAGCTTTTGGATGGTGAGTATGAAGTCTCCATGCAAGAGATAGAGGAGAGTCCTGTAGGCAAGAAAAGGGCAACGTGGGAAACCATACTAGATGGGAAGGTCAGTTGTAGGCCTTGTGTTTTATTTATTTAGTAATTTAGCAGACACTTTTATCCAAAGCGACTTACAAATGAGGACAATAAAAGCAGTCAAAACTAACAAAAGAGCAACAATATATGTGCAAATGACAAGTCTCGGTTAGCCTAACGCATTACACGTAGCAAGATGTGTGTGTGTGTGTATATATATATATATATATATATATATATA